GCAAAGCGGTGCCATGGCCTGACCTACCAGGTAGAGTCTCCCTCTAGATCAGGATTTCTCAACCCGGCACTAGTGACACTTGGAGCAGGATCATTCCTTGTTACAGAGACTGTCCTATGCATTGTGGGATGTTCAGCAGCATCCCCGACCTCTGCCTACAAGACTCCACAAAGGACCCTCTGTCCTAGTTGTGACAAACAAAAGATATCCCCAGACCCTGCCACATGTAACCTGGGGGCCAAAGCACCCACATTTGAGAACCATGGTTCTAGGATATAGGAGTATGAACACAGGCAGCTCAGGTTTCCACAGGCTGGATTTGAGGTGCCTGTGAGACCTGCGTGCTGAGATTCTTTTGAGCAGTCAGACAGGAGGGGCTGGCGCCCAGGAGAAAAGTCTGGGCAGCTTTGCTGTCTTCAGGCTTGGCGGCTGTTAGAAGGAATGTCGCAGAAAAAAAGCGATACGCAAAGAGTCTATTTCATTTCATTTCATTTTTTGAGCAAGGATTATGCTAAAGTCACCAGGCAAGAAACCAAGATGAGTCCACCTCACAAATACAGAAACTTCAGATCCAAGGCAGCTTATGAGGTACAGAACGTTCTGGACTGTAGAAAAGAGAGGGTTAATCCAACCTAATCAGGAGAGAAATGCCATTATCCACTGAAATATTTCTTGACTATCTCCTACATGCTAGTCAGTTTCACTCACATTGTCTCATTTAATCTTTGAAAAACTACATAAAAGTGTGAAGTAAATATTTTCCCCTCCCTTCTTTTTAAAGATTAGAAAACAGGGGCTCAAAAGGACCCACATACTCAGACTCACCCTTCAATGACAGAGCTGGAGTTTGAACACAGTTTGTTTAATGCCAAAACCCAATAGTGGCTTCTGGAAGCTTCTAGAAGGTGGGGCTGGAACTTCGCATTGAAGAGGTTGACAGGCAGTGTTGCAGGGAAATGGGAGAGGGAAACACACCAGGCAAAGGGAACTGCTTGGGCATGGCTTCGGCAGAGAATGAGGTACAGAGATTTGAGGACAGGATGATTTCTTGGAACACAGAGCTTGGTTCAGTAGAAAGAGCACGGGAAAGCCAGGATGTGGCCAGTTGAAAGGGAGGGGCTTTGACCATGTGGTGAGCCATTTTGCGTTTTACTCTGTTGGCATCAAGGAGACAAATAATGAGAACTCTGACTTGGGAAAAATGTTAAGGATCAATTTATCTTTTATCACTTGTAGCTCTTAAGTCTGGGGGCCTGCTATTCCCCATCTTACCTAAAAGGCACAAACGCACCTCTCCAAGCCAGGTATAAGACCCCCAACAATAGTTGCCTGGTCAAAAAATGCATCCTCAGAGTTGACTACTACTACGGTAAATCTGGGGACAGTTTCTGAAAACTTGTTTCCCTAAAAGTTTTCATCAAACTATATTCACTGACATATAACGATAATCATCAGCACTAAATCACATCCCAGGAGGTATCTGAGTGCAACCGTGAGGTGCTCCTTCATGTCTGAAGATGCATTTATAACAATCTGGAAAACAGTCTAGAAGATCTTCTTGGAAGTTAGACCTTCAACTTTATCTGAATTTTGATGATAAATCAAGAGCTCTTATTGTGCAGTTTCTGAGGTTCTTCAAAAGAGTGACTGTTTCTCTGTTTCCCCAGAAAAATACTACAATGTGTGGTGGGTGTGTGTGTGTGTGTGTGTGTGTGTGTGTAGGCATACGTGCACATATGTGGGTGGGGGTGAATATGCCTATACGTGTGTGTGGATGGAGTAGGTATACATGCTGTGAGAGTGTGTGGATGCAGATGTATGAGTGTGGGTGGGAGATTGTATGTGAGAGGATGTGAGTGTGTGTGTGGATGGAGTAAGTATACATGCTGTGAGTGTGTGTGGATGGAGTAGGTATACATGCCTGTGTGTGAATGCAGATGTGTGAGTGTGGGTGGGAGATTGTGAGTGCATGTGAGTGTGTGTGTAGATGGAGTAGGTATACATGCTGTGAGTGTGTGTGGATGGAGTAGATATACATGCATGTGAGTGTGTGTGTGGATGGAGTAGGTATACATGCCTGTGTGTGGATGCAGATGTGTGTGTGGGTGGGAGTTCGTGTGTGAGTGCATGTGAGTGAGTGTGTGTGGTGAGTGTACGGAATGGGTTAGCCCATGCATAGAGCATTTCTTAGCCTACTTGACAGCTTAGGAGCCACCTCCTCCAGGAAGCCTTCCTTAATCTGTCCTTTGTCCTGCCCCTCAGGACCCAGGTGACACCAGGCATACAATTGCTTTATCCCTGGAGGTCTGCCCCCGACTCATCTCATCCCCAAACACAGACACATGCAAGAATGTGACCCTCCATTCCCAATACAACACTAGGACATTTTATTCCCTTTGTATTCCTGGTGTCTGGTACATGGTAGGTCATCAATAAATAATTGAATTAAATCTTGCAAAGGCCTCCAAATATCAGAATTGGTAAACTCTAAAGTCTCTGTTTATTCTTGCAGATTCCTTCCCAGGTTTCAGCAGATCATAGAGAAACTCTCTCCCGCCAGTCCTAGTCTCAATGGGACAGTAAAGTGAAACAGGAACACCACCATCCCATACCCCTCCCCTTCAGTCAGTCTCTCCAAAATGAGCTGCTGCTGCTGGGGGAACCAAAACTAAGCTGCTTTTTTTTTTCTTTTTTTTTTTTTGAAACAGAGTCTCGCTCTGTCGTCCAGGCTGGAGTGCAGTGGCACCATCTCGGCTCCCTGCAAGCTCCGCCTCCCAGGTTCACACCATTCTCCTGCCTCAGCCTCCCGAGTAGCTGGGACTACAGGTGCCCACCACCACGCCCGGCTAATTTTTTGTGTTTTTTTTTCAGTAGAGATGGGGTTTCACAGTGTTAGCCAGGATGGTCTCCATCTCCTGACCTCGTGATCCACCCGTCTCGGTCTCCCAAAGTGCTAGGATTACAGGCGTGAGCCACCACGCCCGGCCAACCAGAGCTAAGCTTCTGCAGAGGCCTCTGCCCATGTTACCCCAGCTCTGCGTCCTACCTGGCATGAGTCTTCCCATAACTATACCTAGGCTTGCTGACTGCTCTGTGAGGACGCCCAGCGTCACTGCACTATGGGATGGGGCAGTCAGAGCAGGGCTTCTTAGACTCTAACATGCACATGATCACCTGTTTAGCATGCAGATTCTGATCCAGTAGGTCTGGGATGGGGCCTAAGATTCTGCACATCTAATACGCTCCCAGGTCATGCCCATGTTGCTGGCCTGTGGACCTTCCTCCCACCGGCAAGTGCTTCCTCGCAGCTATTCGAGAGAGTGGTGTGGTGCAAATCGGGTACTGAGTCATTTGGTCACTTTCCCTTCTTGTTAAGTCAACTTCTACCATTTCACATGCATAGAAGTTTTGACAAGCCCTTGAGTCTTTTGTGTCTTTCTGTACCCCAGTAAAAAAAAGAACAGGCCAGGCGTGGTGGCTCACACCTGCAATCCCAGCACATTGTGAGGCCGAGGCGGGCAGATCGTGAGGTCAGGAAATGGAGATCGAGACCATCCTGGCTAACACGGTGAAACCCCGTCTCTACTAAAAAGACAAAAACTTAGCTGGGCGTGGTGGCAGGCGCCTGTAGTCCCAGCTACTTGGGAGGCTGAGGCAGGAGAATCACTTGAACCTGGGAGGCAGAGCTTGCAGTGAGCCAAGATTGCACCACTGCACTCCAGCCTGGGTGACAGACCGAGACTCCATCTCAAAACAAACAAACAAAACAACAACAACAAAAGAAAACAAAACAGATTCTATATTCATTGCTTCCAGTCTGCTAAAGGAGAAAGAAAATTGGACTGGGCATTAGGTGACATTAACTCCAGTCCCAGCTCTGCAAGCTCTCAAGGTTTTTTGGCCTCTGTTTCCTTTCCTATAAAGTGGGCTAACATAGTGGCTGACCTGGTTATTTCAAGAAGAGAGTGTGAGATTGCAGAGAGAGTGTGGGCTTTCTGGTGTCAGAACCAGTTTCTTTTTTTTTTTTTTTTGAGACGGGGTCTCGCTCTGTTGCCCAGGCTGGAGTGCAGTGGCCCGATCTCAGCTCACTGCAAGCTCCCCCTCCCAGGTTCGAGCCATTCTCCTGCCTCAGCCTCCCGAGTAGCTGGGACTACAGGCGCCCGCCATCACACCTGGCTAATTTTTTTTTTTGTATTTTTAGTAGAAACGGGGTTTCACCATGTTAGCCAGGATGGTCTCGATCTCCTGACCTTGTGATCCACCCACCTCAGCCTCCCAAAGTGCTGGGATTACAGGCGTGAGCCACCGCGCCCGGCCTGAACCAGTTTCTAATGAGGAAAAATTACTTGCCTTCTCCGAGCCTCACTTTCTTCATCTGTTAAGTTAGAGAGGAAAAGAAAATGTGGGATATATAAGTGTGCAAGGCCTGTCAGCTGCCAGAAGTGCAACAAATGTTGAATCCCTTCTCTGTTCAAAGGGCTGTGATGGAAATTAAAAAGCCCCTTCTCAGTAAGGCCTCCCTGGGCACCCAATCTAAAATGTCAGACCCCTCCCCCTTTTCTCCTTATTGCGGATCACTGTCTAACATTTGACTTCCTTATCTGGCTTATCATCTCTCCCTCGGCGAAGGGCCATGACGTAAGGCTGGGAATGTGTGTCCGGGTGGCTCGCTAATGTATCCGTGGTGCCTAGACCAGCCCCTGGGACATGAATCTTTGTCGAGTACATGGACCGGCAGTGCTTTAGATATTATACTATTGCATTATCAGAATCCATTTCTTCCACACCCCTGAAACCAGAATCATGCACATGGAGAGGGTATAAAGCTGTTGAAAAGCGGAGCCCTAGCAGCAAACAGCCCAGGCTGAGGCTTTGAGGACAACAGGAGACAAAGGAATACTTGATGACTTGTTGTGGGAGGCATTGGAGAATTAACATAGTCAAGAACTGCAAGGCAGTAAGAGGAGAGTCTTGGGCAGCCCTCAAATAGAAGATCGGGGCCTGTGCAGCAATGGCCAAGATCAAGGCTCGAGATCTTCGCGGGAAGAAGGAGGAGGAGCTGCTGAAACAGCTGGACGACCTGAAGGTGGAACTGTCCCAGCTGCGCGTCGCCAAAGTGACGGGCGGTGCGGCCTCCAAGCTCTCTAAGATACGAGCCGTCCGCAAATCCATCGCCCGTGTTCTCACAGTGATTAACCAGACTCAGAAAGAAAACCTCAGAAAATTCTACAAGGGCAAGAAGTACAAGCCCCTGGACCTGCGGCCTAAGAAGACACGCGCCATGCGCCGCCGGCTCAACAAGCACGAGGAGAACCTGAAGACCAAGAAGCAGCAGCGGAAGGAGCGGAAGTACCCACTGCGGTAGTGCGCGGT